GCGCTCTCGACGACGCAGATGAACCTCTCGTGGGGCGGCGACCAGCCCATCGTCCGCGACACGATCATCGAGCGCTCGGAGGGCTTCCTGGGACCCTTCGAGCCCGTGCTCAAGCCCGGCGACACCCAGCGCGGCTATTTTGATGATCCGTCGGCGCCGCCCGTGGACGATCCCGCGGCGCCGCCCGGGAACGGACGCCGAGCCACGGCCAAACCCAAACCGCCGAAGCATGGCGCGGAGTACTACCGCGCATCGGCGCTTTTCGATGCCAACGCGACGGCGGAGGCGAAGATCCGGGCGGCGACGACGGAGGCGGGCGTCGCGTGGGTCCAGATCGCCGCGGACGACGCGAAGGCCTACGTGCAGGCGCGGTCGATCAAGGAGCAGGGCAAGCGGGCGGCCACGGCGCCCAAGGACAAGAAGGTCGGGTCGCTCCGGGCGCGCGCGGCGACGTACCACTCGGAGAACGCGTCCATCACGATCGATCTCGGGTCGAAGCCGCCGGGCTACGACGAGTGGCGCGCGGCGCTCGAGGTCCACGCGGCGAGCGTCACGGGCTTCATCGGCCAGCCCAAGGGCGGGAAGCAGCTGCTCAGGGAGCGCGGCCTCTGGCACCAGGGCATGTCGTGGACGGGGAAGAAGGACACCTACGGCGTCCCCGAGACCGTCGACATCGACGGCGTCGCGCGGTCGACGTGTGCCAAGGACGTCCTCGCGGCGTGCTGGGACTACCAGAACGAGACCTCGGAGCTCGAGCAGATGGTCACGGACCTCGGGCACCGCGCCATGTTCACGCCCAAGGGCCACTGCGAACTTGCCGGCGAGGGTATCGAATACGACTGGGGCGTCGCCTCGCGGTGGAAGCGCAAGAACGGCCGCGACGAAGACCAGCACCTCCAGGAGGACACGCTTCGCTCGTTGTCGCCGAAGGTGCTGCCCGTGTTGCGCGTGCGCATGTTCGAGCGGACGGCGTGGCGCTACAAGCAGGCGTACCGTCGAGTCACCCGCGGCGAGGCCACGGCTGGCGAGTTCGCGGAGGTCGAGCGGCTCCAGAAGGAGATCAGGCGCCACCGCGACGCCGAGGTCGAACTAGCCGCGCTCGAGGGCCGCCGCGAGAACCCGCTTGCCGCCCTCGATGCGCCCCCGGGGACGGCTCCGGTCCGCGCGGCGACGGCCGCGGGCCCCTGAGCGCGGGGCACCACCGCATCCACATAGCCGCATAAAACCACCAAAAAAAGGCTTCTGCCAGCGGGGAATACGTCGGAGGCTACTCCCCGAGAAGCGCAGCGACGACGCCGTCGCTCATGTTGCACTGCAACCCCTCATGTTGAGGTAGATTTATGCCCATTTCGTCTAGTACACATTCACATTCGTAGATCGCGTCGCGACATTAGAATGCGACGCTATTGCGCCTCGGAGAAGCGCCGTGGACCTTGCCGAAGACCCTGACCCGACGAACGACGGGCTGCCATGGAGGACGAGTGGATGGAGGCGCTGCACAGGTACGTGAGCGAGGGCCAGTGGAGCGAGGTGTCGCATTTCGTGGACCGCAACGCCGTGCTCTTCGGCGGTAGCAGCACGGAGAAGGAGCACGGCGAGGGCGAGTACGCGCTCTACGTGCAGTTCCGGTCGCTCGTGGCCAAGGTTTTGGACTCGCTCCTGGAGGAGCTGGGCTGTCGGAGCGAGGCGGACGAGGCGCGGCTGGCGATTTTTTTGCGGGAGACGGCGGAGTCGCCCGCGAGCGGCCCGCGCGAGGAGATGGCGAAGCGCGTGTTGCAGGACCTGCTGGACATCGACGACTTCGCGGCATTCGCGCGGACGATGCGGGCGCGGAACGACGAGTTGGAGACGGGCGAGGCCGTCGAGCTCGAGCGCCAGCTGTCGGCGGCGGCGGACGCCAAGGCCCGCGCGACGCCGGAGACGCCGCTCGGCGCCAAGCACTCGGTTTTCAGCGACAGCGACGCGGATCTCACGCCCGTGACCACGCCGGGGGGCGGGGTCGACTGGCAATGGTCGACGGTCTGGGAGGAGGCCTTCGAGAGCGCGGAGGCGGCGAACGACGACTTCGAGCTGCAGCACGCGACGGCGCTGAGCCTGCTGGAGGCGCACGAGCGCGGCGCGCTGCCCGACAAGGACCGGCCATTCGTCGGCTGGGCCCAGGCCTTGGTGGCCGTCGCGAGCGAGATGAACGGCCTGCATTGGGCGCAGGAGCCTCGGCGCGCGCGGCGCCTCCACAGCGACCTCGTGCGCCAGCGCTTCGCCGTCGAGCTCCGCGTCGCGCAGGAGGCCGCCTTCGAGGACAGCGCCGCGCGTGCCGAGGCCGCGCAAAGCGCCGCTGTCGGCGGCGACGACGAGCGTTCCGCGTGCGTTGCCGCGGCCCTGGCGCGCTGCGAGACCCTGCGGGGCGCCGTCGCCGTCGCGCGGGGTCGCTGCGTGCGGAACGGCGCGGTCCGCGACGCGAACCTCGAGCTCGGCTACCTCACGATCCGTGGGCTCCTCCACCGCCGCGAGGACCTCCCGAGCCACGCGACCGAGATCTACGACGCCCTCACGAGCCGGGCCGAGGCCGAGGCCGAGGCCCACCGCCGCGGCGACGCCGCCGGCCCCGACGGCGACGGCGACGGCGACATCGGCGACATCGGCGACGGCCGCCGCGGCGCCCGCGGCGCGGCGCCGTCGGCCATCGCCGCGGACCTCGTCGCCTGGTGCGCCCTCGAGGCGGAGCTCGGCACGGTCCAGAAGCGCCTGCACGGCATGCTCGGGGACGACGGCGCCTCGGACCAGGCCAAGGCGGCCGCGGTCTGGAAGCTCGCCGCGAGGCGCGGCGCCGACGACAAGGCGGCCGAGGACGAGGGGTCCAAGGACGGGGCCTACGACGCCGGCGGCGGCGCGGTTTCGTCGGACGGCGACGTCCTCTGGCACGAGTTCCTGGACCTCGACACGAACTATTGCTACTACGTCAACACGGCCACCGGCGAGAGCCAGTGGAACCCGCCCGACGAATTCTTGCCGCTCGACGAGTCCGTCGAGGTCGCCGCGGGCCTCGCCGAGGAGCAGGCGGCGGCCTACCACGCCGAGGCCGCGCATGCGGCCTACAAGGAGGAGCTCCCCACATCGGAGTACTGGGACGAGCCAAAGGCGGCCAAGGACCCGCCGCGCGCGCCCGAAGCGGACGCGGCGCCCGCGGAGGCCAAGGCCGAGGCCAAGGACGACGGGCCGACCTTCAAGGTGCCCGAAAGTTTCCGAGGGCTCTCCATCGAGACCAAGCCGGAATTCGTCTCGCCCGCCGCGTCGCGCATGGCCTCGAGCCCCTCGAAACCGACGCGCGCGGCTTTTCCGCCGCCGATCGGCCTCCCGGTCTCGCCCTCGCCCCATCGCAAGATGTCGACCTGGGACAGGCGCCTCCCGCCGCTCCCGAACGGGGCGCCCGGCAGCGCCACCGGCGGCGTCGACAAGGGCATGCTCCTCCTCAGTCCGAAGGCCTTTTTGCAAATCAAGAGGCGTTTCCCGAGAGGCAGCCCGGGCCGGGTGATGCTGCGCGTCGTCGCCCGGCTTGACGGCCCGTGCATTCAGGAGATGAACATCGGCGAGCGATCCATCGAATACGAGGGGAAAAAGATGCAGTTTGACGCGGTCTACGCGGGGCTGTCGGACGAGGGCTTCTTCGCGGCGGCGTGCGAGCCGGTCCTCGAGTGCGACCGCGGCACCTTTTTGTGCAGCGGCGCGTGCGCTGAGGTGTCGAAGGCGATCGCATTTTTCGCGGACGCCTTCGAGACGGCGTCCGCCGTCGACGTGCGCGAGGACCGGGTCTGGGACGTGCTCGCCAACGGCGAGCTCGCGGTCGACTCTAAAACGAAAAAGTTCCGGCCGGCGGCCGAGGCGGCCGCGCGCGATGAGCGGTGCCGCTGCGGCGGCGTGCCCGACGCGCACCGCCTCGTCTTCCTCGCGCGGCCCGCAAAGGGCGCGCTCTGCGTGGCGGCGCTCGCGTCGGGCGACGACACGAAGACACAGCAGGGCCTCGCGGCGTTGGTCAACGTCTTGACGTCCAAGGAGCCCGCGGATCGGCGGCCCTACCAGGACTCGAAGTTGACCAAGCTCCTCGACGGCGGCTGGCTTGACTCTTTCGTCGTGCTCTGCGTCTTCGTCGGTCGCGAGACGGATACCGCGGACGCCGCGACGCGCCTCAAGCACGCGAGCCGCCTCCGGCGGCTGTCGTCCGCGGGCCCCGCGGCCGCGGACGCCATGTTCGAGAGCCTCAAGTCCCGGGCCATGCGGACAAAGCACGAGGAGGAGACCGGCCGACTGAAGCGCGAGCATATGTAGATTATTATTAGCGAACTGCACTTTATCCCACTGTGCTCCTACTCCATACATTCTATTTAACGAAATAGTAAACTCGGGGACAGGAAGGTAGCCTAGTGGGGCTGCCCTGCTGTCCGAGGGTGAACTATCGAGGCTACGCAGTGGCGGTACACCGGCGTCTCTGTTATACTATTCCAGTTTCAAATTTTATAGACAGCGAACTGAAGGAGTGTACAGCCAGCGGGGGCAGAAGCTAGGTAGTCTGACTACTAGCGAGATAGTAAACTCAGGGGCAGGGGGCAGCCTAGATGGGTTGCCCTGCTGTCCGAGGGTGAACGCACATCCCCACGGGACCTCAGCTGCCGTAGTATCTACTCCACCTAGGTACAATAGTATATGTTTAGTTTGTGTTTATTTATTTCATTACTTCAGCAGATCGATCGACGCGATGTCGGAGCCATCGACGCGACCGCGAACGCGCCCAGATTTGGGACGACAAGAGGCAGCCGCGCCGGCGCCGCCACCGGAGAAGGTCGGAAATGACGCGGTGACTTCGAGCGACGACTTCACCTGGAGCGTCGATCGTCGGCGCGCTGCCCAACGCGCGGTCCGCGGCGATCCTCGAGGCGCTCGGCGCCCCGTGGGACGTCCGAGACGATGGCCGCGACGACGCGCGCGTCCGACGACGACGGCCGCGACAACGAGTGCGCGGATGCGGCGTCGCCGGGCGGCTCCGCGGCGTCGCTCGCCGACGACGACCGCGACGCGCACTGCGGCCTGCCGCCCTAGCCGTCGACGAACGATGGGCACTGCCGGAGCGAGCCCGCGGCGGCGGCTACCTCTGCGACCGCGTCAAGGTGCCGAGCGCGCCGAGTTTGTGCGCCCTCTTCCTCACGGACGTGCCCCAGCTCCACGAAGCGCGCCACCCGGGCGCTTTCGTCGCAAAGGGCCGGACGGCGGCAAGGTCTTCGAGTTCGACCTCAACTTTTGCATGCCCTTCGGGCAACTTCGTCATCTGCGTGCGCGCGCGCGAACGGCGACGCGCGGCTGAAGTTGAGAAACTGGCTCGCGCCGCGCCGTCGGCGGCAACGCCAAGCTCGCCGGGGCCCTTGAAGCTCTCCACAACGCCGCCAAGCTCGTTCTTCGGGCCCGTCGGCGGCGGCCACAACGCCGCCAAACTCGCCAGGGCAGCTCCCCTACTTCTCCGGGCCCGACTATTTCGAGGTCGACGCGGACATCGCTGGCTCCGCGGCGGATCCTTTCCGTCGTCAAGAGCGCGACGTAGGAGCTCGTCCTCGACGTCGCCCTCGTCGTCGACCTCCGCTCTCCCCCCCGGGCAGATCCTCGACGCCGCGCGCCTCCACCGTGCCGACCCGGCCCTCGCCCTCGCTGGCGACTTCTGCCCCGAGGCGTAGCCTAGTAGTGTCCCCGTCTCCGGGTGGAGCCGTGGGTGTTCAACGGGAAAACCCCCTACCGTAGGAGCTCGTCCTCGACCTCGCCCCCGTCGTCGACCTCCGCTCTCCCTCCGGGCAGATCCTCGGCGCCGCGCGCCTCCACCGCCGACCCGGCCCTCGCCCTCGCTGGCGACTTCTGCCCCGAGGCGTAGCCTAGTAGTGTCCCCGGACCCTCGCGCGCGCGATGCCCGCAGCGACGGCGGCGTCGAGCGGCGCACCGAGGAAGTCGGACCAGGGCCGCCGCCTCCGGCAACGGCGGTGCGTTTTTTGTCGTAGACCAACTGGTGGCCGAAGGTCAGCGCCGCGCGCCTCGCAGTCGTCCGGGCACGCCGCGCACTCGCACTTCAAGGCCCGCAGGACCTTCATCCGGTCCTTGTAGCGCGCCACGAGGCGGCGCGCGTTCTTGACGGCCTCGACGTCGACGTAGTCGCAGCCCGCGAGCGCGCACATGGTCACGAACATATGCTGCGTCCAGCTCCGGACGTCGATCGCGCTGACGTCCGGGCCCGCCGCGAAGAGGTCCGCGAGCACGACCTGCTGGGCGCTCGGCGTCGAGCTTGAAGAGCACGCGCGGCGCGCCGTAGGCGAGGTTGTCGCTGTCCTCGCTCACGATCGCCGCCGGACCGCGCGAGCTGCGCGAGCTGCGAATCCGCCTCGTAGGGCGCCACGAGGAAGTCGACGCGGTCGCCCCAGCGCGCCGCGCTGGCGTCGACGAGCTGCTTCGCCATGACCGGCGTACCACTTGGCGTACCACTTGCGCGCCTCCTCCTGCGAGTCCTCGCGCGCCTTCTGGCTCGCCATCGCCTTGGCGTGCTCGCGCTTGCCGCGCCGGCTCGCCTCCTGGGCGGCCTTGGCCGGCAGCGCGCCGCCGTCGAAGACGAGCAGGGGCTTCACCTTGTAGTGGAGCAGTAAAGCCACGCGGCCCATGCAGAACTCGATGTGCTTGTCGCTCGCGCCGCCCGCGCCGAGCTCCGACGCGCAGGCGTGCACGCCGCGGTGCAGCCACGCGTAGCCGTCGATGGCGACAACCTCGTGCGTGTAGCGCGACACGTGCACCGTCTGCGTCGACCCGCGGAACATGGGGAGCAGGCCCGAGACGCCCATCGTTGAATCTGAGGGGGGGTATACACCGAAAAAAGTTATCAGAAAAAAAAACATTTTGCAGAGAAAATAGAAGCAATATTTTTGATTTTATTGGAAACCTAATATAGACATCGGTCTTTGTGGGTGCGCGGCGCCGGGTTTGGCGGGCGTTTAAACGCGTCGGCCTGGTTTGTGTGGCCCTCGAGCGGCTCGGCGACGGTGTTTTTGGTGTCGTATGGCGTTTGTGGGGTGCGCGCGCGGCGCCAACGGGCGTCGATTGCGAGCGCGGGCACACCTCGAACCGCAGCTCTTAATTCACCGATACAACTACAGTTCAAGAAGCTCTGAGCAAATCTTTTGGATAATTCACACTCGTCGCGCGGGCAGCGGCAGCCTTCCGCGCGGGTTGCGGCGACGCGGGGGCGCGGCAACCGAAGATCTGCGCCGCGGGGCGCGGCGCGCGAGCCTCCTTTCACCTCCCGTGACGCCGAGCGGGTCGGAAATCTCAGGTCCAGCATGGCTGGGTCATGCTATCGCATCATGTGCCGCTGCCTCGCGCTCCTGACGATCTCGGGTGGGGTCTCGGGGCTGCGGGACGCGCGGGACGCGCGGGACGAGCGGCGGGTGGGCGTCTTCGAGACGTCGTCCTTCGAGCGGCCCGCCGAGCGCGCCGCGGACGGCGGCGCGCCGAAAAAGAGGCGGCTCCAGACCTCGCACAGCTTCGCGGACAAGAGCGAGCTCGAGACGGCGGTGGACGCGTGGCTCGCGGACGCGGACGCGGCGACGCTGACGTACGGGCCCATCTCGAGGTGGGACGTCTCCGCCGTGACGGACATGTCGGAGCTGTTTTGTGGTGATTCGGACTGCGCGCATTACAACGCGAACGCGCAGTCCGTCAACGACGACATCAGCGGCTGGGACACGTCGGCCGTGACGACTATGGGCTGCACGCCGGACTGGTACGAGAGCGACGGGGCCGACTCCTTCACGAAGCACAAAATTGCGACCTCAATGGACAGCTATGGCATCCGGGCGCGTCTGACGGACGTCGATGGCGACGGGGATCACGACGTTTGTCCGGACTCCGCTGCGTGCCGCACGACCGGTGACGGCGCGCTGGACGTCCAGGCGTTGATTTCGTGTCTCGTTTTGGTCGCTTGCTACGGGATGTCGATGAGGTCACGCCGCCGGAACCGAACGAACACGCGCAGCCCGTCAGTCGGACATCGCAGCTGGATCATCGGGATGTCTTTTGCCGCTATGCTGCGTTCTGCCGAAGCTTGGTGCGCGTGTTGTAACTGCTGCAATGGTGACAATCACCCTTTGTGTCCCCTTCAAACGCGCACCGGCGTCACCAACTGGCACGGAGGTGTCGTCGATAGTGACTGGTGCTGGAGCGGATGCAGAGAGCCGACCAGGTATGGAGGGGTTTTCGCCGAGCCGTACAATTGTCCTCCAACCCTCGAATACATGGACTGCGAGTGTAATGGTGGAAGCTGGGATGAATGCAAGCATCTCAATTACATACCTGGCATGGCGCCGACGCAGCCGACTCCGACTCCAACGCGAAATCCCACCACGCCGAAGCCGACGGCCTTCTCTCTCTCCTCGGCGCCCTCCCCGAGTCCATCTGAAGACCCCACGCCGAGTCCCACGCCGAAACCCACCAAGACTGAATTCAGGTGAATTTCAGGACCGCGGTCGACGCGTGGCTCGCAGACGCGGATGCCGCGACGCTGACGTACGGGCACATCTCGACGTGGGACACGTCGGCCGTGACGGACATGTCGGAGCTGTTCAGATTTACAGACTTCAACGCCGACATCAGCGGCTGGAACACGGCATCCGTCACGGATATGAGCTGGATGTTCTCCAGCGCTAATGCCTTTAACGAGGACATCGGCGCCTGGAACACGGCGTCCGTCAAGGACATGAACGGGATGTTCGCCAATGCTGACGTCTTCAACCAGGACATCGGCGCCTGGGACACGTCGTCCGTGACGGACATGAGCTGGATGTTTGAAGCGGCTTACGCCTTCGACCAGGACATCGGCGCCTGGAACACTGCGTCCGTCGCGGACATGAGCGGGGTGTTCTACGATGCTTCCGCCTTCGACCAGGACCTCGACTGGTGCATTTCGAGCTCCGCCGCCGCTTCAGACTTCGCGACCTCGTCCGGCTGCGCCGTCGCCGATTGCGGCGTCAGCTTCTCGTCAAACTGCGAGACGCCGCAGCCGTCCTACATGCCGAGCGCGTCGCCGCCGACCTACCCGCCGACGGCGTCGCCCTCGGCGCTCTTGCCTCCAACGCCAAATCCCACCACACCGAAGCCGACGCCCGCCCCTTCGTCCCCGCCCACGGCCTCGTTTCTAGCGATCACGAGCATCGGCACCGCGTCGACGTGCGTCCACGGCATCGAGTGCGAGCTCCTCTGGGCGTACCGCAGCCCCGGCTGCGCGACCGTCAAAGTCACGCTGACCGACCCGGACGGGAACGAGGTCGGCTCGCAGACCA